GATGTAAGAGCTGTGTGTGTTGAGATGAGAGTTAAGTTTGAATCTTTCCTGTCAGACTCTTTTCTTGTCATTGTTAATGTGGCGTTTGTAGTAGTGCTGTAGGAAGAAGACTTTGTTTTGTTAGTCTTCAATTTGATTGGAAGGTATAAATAGAAAATGGAAATACCCATTCAATCTTACTTTTAAAAGAATTCAATTAATTTTCACACTATGTAAAATGTACTGTCTTTAAAAGATATTGACACACTTGGAAAGTGTACAAGATAACAATAGGAGCGCAGATAAGTGGTAAAACTGTTTGAATGAAGTCACTTAGAAAACAAATATGAGAAGGACGGGACTTGAAGGATGTTTACGAAAATGTATTTGGTTTCTGATAAAACTATTTAATAAGATCTGAAAGACTTTATGTACAAGTTATACAACACTCTCTTTCTATTCTATAAATGATTAATAACATTCTAAACCTGGTTAAAAAAATTAATAAATCATTTAAATAGTTTTATATCTCTAGTGCTCTGCCTTTGGGAAATTGATGTCTTTAAAAATACTCCTACCTGTTCTCTTTTTACTCAGTAATAATTCCCCAGAGGCTTCAAGATCAACATACTGTATTTAATTTTTGGATGCCACTGTGACATTTATGTGTTCCTCTTCAGACCTCGTGAGAATCTACTTCCTATTTTACACTGTCTTCTAGATATGAATATACTTGGACAAAACCAGTCACTTAGATGAAAATTGCTCAATTTTAATTCTTTTTTTAAGCAATTTGAAAATTACTACTGTGTTGTTATTGTTTTTTTTTTATCTAATTTAAAAAAAAAAATCTCTATTCTATTAGCACAACCGGAGTGGGTAAAACCCTGGAGGGTAGACACTGTGGGTTCTTGAAAACGGCTCCAATGATTTTTCTAGAAATTTGACAGTTGATGTATATCATTTAAAAAAGAATTACTAGCTTGTTGCTCACACTACAAAACTATAGTTTGAGCGCTATAATTTTTCAAATTATAAAAAAAAAAAAATATTAATTTAAAATAAGCTAGAGGACCAGAAAATATTTATCTTAAACCAACATCTTCTGGTATTTCTGCATTCAGGCCCTATTCATTCAAGAGTTTGATAAATAATTGTTCAGGAACATTTTGAACACTGTCTTCTAAGTGTAGATCTAAAGACCTATCACTAGAATATTATAAGGTCTTGTAGATCTATACATTTGCTGAAGCAGGATTTTTTTGGGGGGTGGGGGGGGGGGGGGGAGAAAGTAAAAAATGATTTTTAAAAATCAAACATTCATTAGTCATTAAAGCAAAGTAATCACTTAATATGTTGTATTAAGGAGGTAGTGTATTTTTTTTAAAAAGGTATTATATTATGTTTTTCTTGTTAATGTGTCAGATTATTTGTAATTATTATGAATTTTAATCAAAGTTTTAGTATTTTCTTTGGCCTGACTTGTTCAATAGGGGATTGGTTTTTGTCAGAAATCATCACAGTATTTGGGTAATGATTGATGATAACTTCCAGAGTAATGATGGCATTCTATTTATACATTAAAGTCGATGTACATTATTGAAATAGAAATAAATTGTTCACATACATTCGAAAGATGGTATTACATTATAATATGTGGTAAACATTAAGATATATTTGACTTAACATCAGAATAAGAAGGAATCAATCTCCTGTCAGCACTTTCTGTCTGAGAGCTAATTTTTTTGGCTGTCTAGCTGGTTAGCTATGTGGTTTCCTTTATTTACACAACCGCTTTGTATTCTCTTTCTAGCCATCTCCTAGTTGGCAAAACTTTTAGGCACTAGGAATATATTGCCTTCCATTTAGCAATGTCTAGTATGTTTGACTTTCTTGTATGTATTTTCACTTTCCACTAATCTTACTTAAGGTAGACTAGATGCTCCCATGTTGTTCAGTACATTAGGTGGCAAGCTGTCTTACTTAAGGTAGACTAGATGCTCCCATGTTGTTCAGTACATTAGGTGGCAAGCTGTCTCCATAGAGATAATTTTGATCTCAATTGTTATCTTTGGAGAATTTAATTCATCTTGTCAAAGGGCATGTCCCCCAAACCCAATAAATAATGCGTCACTACTCAAGTGGGCAACTGCCTATTAGGCAAAGTATTTCTCTGATGTTGGCGCAATCTCTGTGACTTTTATTTGTCTAGCTATCTCTGCCAAGCCACATTTATCGTCCTCTCAACTTTTACAGATGACTTCCATATCTCTCTTCTAGAGTCCAATGGCTTGGTTGTCCAAAAATGCCATAGTCTTTCCTATTCAGCATCCTATGTCATGATAGGCATCTCCATCAAGTGTTATGATGCAGCATACCTGTGTAAACTATGTAAACCTATATCCTACTCACATAATTTTAGTTTAGTCTACTTAGCAACATTTATTATAAAAAAAAATTTTGTTTTCAATAGTCAAAAATGAATCAAATTAGTATTGCAATGCTAATAGTCTTTGGGCTCCTTTAGTTCAGAAATGGCTATGGTTCATCTCATAGAGCACTATTTCATGTGAGTGTTGAGCCCTGGAGAGACACTCTCATCCACATACAAAGAAGGTGACAGTGGCATTTAATTTGCTAGTAGAGGAACCAGACATTTAAGGTTTGGCTATCTTTTCTTCCGAGCTGAGGTCATTCCTTTTTTGCTGTCCATAACTTTCTTTGTCACCATCTCTCTCCACATTTTGCAGTCTAGGGCTATGTCTTCTCAGTAGTCAACCTCTATGTTCACTGTTTTGATTTCCCATTTGATTACATTGATGTAATGGAGGGCAGACATGACCAATCCAATGCAGGCGGCACTGCCTGAGGGTTATGTATATTATACTGAAGAGACCTGTGACCTGAGCAATGAAGTACCTCGTTTTGCTTATTCTGTCTTTCCGTGTCATTTTCAAGATACTGCGGAGGCAGTGCAAGTGGAACAAGTTAAATTTGCTTCCTGCTTTGCATTTGTTGTCTATGTTTCAGTACTGTACAGTAGTGTTGTAGGGTACACAGGACACATGCGTTGTAGATCTGCATCTTAGTATTTGTGCTGAGTTTGTTTTTCCAGACCATTAAGCTTATTCTGATAAAGCAGCCTTCCTAATACTAATTTTAAATCTGGCCTATAAAAGAAATATTTTGCGTATGAGAGCATGAATTATGGACACAATATTCCCTTTTTGCTCATTTATTGCAGCTCATAATGATGTAATCAGATTAATGGCATGCTGGTGTTCACTAGTTGAGGTACATGTTATATTTACCTGCAGATTTTTAAATTGCATCCCTGAATTTATAAACAATATAGGCATGAGATGAAATGGGCACGTTGTCATTAACGTAATTACTGGGATAAAGTCAAACTTCAAAATAAAGTACATTAGTAGAATAATGTTGTCATTTTATGAAATTCTTAGGGATGGGAGAGAAGGGGTATCTTGTCTTGAAACGTTATTGAATAGGGTCAAATCTGAGTAGTTTAGTTTAAATAATGAAGTTGATGTGGCTTGAATTATGTATTATATTATGTTACTATTACCTCAATATGCCTTCAACTAAAAACACTTTGGTCCCTTTTATTACATAAGAACTTCATTTTACAGTTGTGTGAATGGCCCATGAAATGATACTGAATGTAGGTCAGCATACTCTCATAAAACTAATTCTGCACTAGAGAAAATAAAGTAATCAGGTGATTGTTTTCAATGTCATAGTAGGCTTGGCCTTAGCCTCTGAAAACAAATCAGTAGGGAAAAACAATTTGCCTGGTTTTGCTCTTTAAAAATAGCTGCAATATAAAACATTTAAAGCAATTTCTATTAGACAAAAAAAACAAACAGTTTTTGAATACATTTCACATTTAGTAACAAGTAGGCCTACACAAGTGAGGATAGCATGAATACATTTCACATTTAGTAACAAGTAGGCCTACACAAGTGAGGATAGCATGAATACATTTCACATTTAGTAACAAGTAGGCCTACACAAGTGAGGATAGCATGAATACATTTCACATTTAGTAACAAGTAGGCCTACACAAGTGAGGATAGCATGAAAAAGAAACACCATCTGAAGCAGCAAAATAAAAATTACTAGTCCAAACCTCCCACAGGATGAAGGGGGATGGGAGCGGACATGGTTTGACAGTCCAGCGCGCAGCCATCCGTATCGACGTGTGAATACCCACTTTTCTCCTCCCCCCCCCCCCCCCCCCTCTTGTTTTTTTGTGGGGTGACTATCCTCAGAAATAAAGAGTGATCTTTCCTTTACTTCTTCTCGTACAAACTCTTGAGGGAAGAGGAGAATTATAAATATATAGATTTTCACATACCATGAGCCATCATCACTTTCTTCATTTTCTTCACATGTAACACAAATTGTTAATATTTTTCATTGAAATATTAAATGGAAACTGACTATTGCCTAATGGAAAAGATTTTTTTTTCCCCCTAGTCACTGATATAACTGTGTACACTGGTCAGGACTCCATTTTTTCACTAAATGTAATTCAGCATTATCTTTCTTAAAAAAATTTGGTCCCCAGTGCTGCCTATTTGTAATATGTATACATCACTCTTGTCTCTGTTACTAAAATGTGTTGTCAAGTTTCAGAGAATTCAGTGTATTTCATTTTGTTCCTCCAAAAGTGGCTAACCAAAACAGTTCTTGGCACATTAGGGTCTACATTTCTTACTCTGAGAACACTTGAATTTTTTTGTATTGGACACCAGGGAAAAGTTAATATCTCAACCAGGTGTGACCCTTAGGTTACATGGTCTGCAGTCAGGCCTAGTATAATATAATTAGTCTCGGACCACTTCCCTCCTTGAAGTCTTCTACTCATAGATCTTCTGGTGTTTTGTCTGGCAGTAGCTCCACTTGCCCAATGAGCAGTGAAAATTATAGAGACTCTGACTCTAACCTATCATGGTTTTCAAGTTTCTAGAGACATTTAGTATAGAGACACTGACTCTTAACCTATCATGGTTCTCAAGTTTCCTGAGAAATTTTGTGGCCATGGGAGAAAAATATTTTAGCAATCAACTAATCAGAAATCTAAGCTTTGGAATGTTTTGCACTGGGACATTGGAAAGTGGTGTACAGTAAATTTGGGAACATTCTCTCCATTTGTTGTAATTAGCTTCTCATTGACCTTTTGAGATGTTTGTCAAATCTGTGTCAGATCAAAGTTACATTGTTAACATAGTTAATAGTCACTGTTTTTGACCTGGGCTTTGAACATTGATACTGTTAGATTTGGACAAAACATTTTTTTTTCATTGTCTAATTCTTTATATAGTCTAAGTCTTGGGATTGATAACTTTTTTTCTTTTAAAGCTTATGGATGATAATTATTCATATAATTCATTTAGTTCTGTGCAAGGAGGAGGGCACTCGTATTACTGGGATAAAGTCAAACTTCAATATGAAGTACATTCGTAGAATAATGTTGTCATGTTATGACATGGATGGGAGAGAAGGGGAGTATCTTGTCTTGAAATTTAGTTCTGTGCAAGGAGGAGGGCACTCGTATTGGAACACACCTCAGTTTAAAAACTCATTATATTTTTTCTCAGGTAGTCTCCCGTCACATTTTTCTTTCTACCCATTACACAAATTTGAACTTGTGATGCTCCAATGTGTAGAGGAATTGGGTGAGTTCATGGAACAGATTGTCACCAGGAATATTAAAATAACATTCTCTCATAACTTACTATTTCATGACATTTCGGTGAAATTTAAAATGCTATTATGTAACAGGTGTGTTATTGATCACACAAAACTTTTGTCTATTGTATGGTGTGTACCTATACAAGCATGTATAGGACAAGTCTGTTGGCTTACACAGACCTGGTTTTGAATAAACAGTTTTCAATCAGAGTTTTTGAAAAATTTTATTAATTACATTACCATTGTTTTAAAAGATAATTTAAATGAGCAATTAAAAAAAATTAAAAAGCCACGAATAGTTGATAATTGTAATCTGATAGTTAAAGATGTTTAAATCATTTAAGAAAAAAAAACAAACAACCCCTTTACGATCTATAGGGTAGATGATGTAAAAGTCATCTGTTTCTATGGCTTATGGTTAACAAGGGTGTCATGTGGCCTGCACAATGACAAAACTGACTTTACTTTCCCCAACAAATGTTAGGTACCCATTAAAGTCAGGTGGACTCAGGGGCCCCTAAAAATGCATTAATTTAAAATCGCAGTCTTCACAGATAAACAAACTATTGTAACCCCCGGTTTGTAATAAAAGTGCTTTATGACTTAACCAGCATGCCCCAAATCATGTTCCACTATTGCATTGCTACTCGTCAGGGAACTCCTGTATGCTGATGATGCAGCTATTGTGGCTGATTCTGATATTCAGCTACAGTGCCTGGTTGACAAACTATCTGCTGCTTGCCAGAAGTTCGGCTTAAACATCAGTCAAAGCAAGACTAAGATAATTGTCCAAAACACAAACACTGCACCTCAAGTAAGCATTAATGGCCAACCACTAGAAATTGTTGATCACTTTTGTTACCTTGGCTCCATCATATCCAACAACACTCTACTGGATAAAGACACAAACAACAGGATAGCCAAGGCAATGGCCACCATGTCACGGCTGCAGAAAAGAGTCTGGGACAACATATTGCTGACTAGCAGTACTAAAGCCCTAGTCTACCGGACCTGTGTGTTGAGCACCTTGCTGTACGGAAGTGAAACATGGTCAACCTACTCATGGCAGGAAAAAAAGCTGAATGTTTTCCACCTCCGATGCCTAAGACGGATCTTTAAAATAAGGTGGCAAGATAAGATAACCAATGAGGAAGTGCTACAAAGAGCAGGGTGCCAGGACATCCGCTCTGTTATCAGCAGCAGACGCCTTGGCTGGTTTGGCCACGTTCGTAGAATGCCGGAAGGTCGACTTCCACAGGACATCCTGTATGGCGATCTAATAGAAGGCAGGAGAGCCGCTGGTCGCCCACTTTTACGTTATGCGGATGTATGCAAACGCGATATGAAGCTCTGCAAAATCGACACTGGCAACTGGGAAGAGGTGGCACTGGATAGATCCTCATGGAGAGAGAGAGCATAAAGGAGGGGTCAAAGATTGCAGATGTCATACACAACAGAAACAGAAAGAAGGGTGAAAATGCAACGGCGCCTGGTGATTATATATGCCCAACCTGGGATCGCAGCTGTGTATCAAGGATTGGCCTCTTTAGTCACACAAGAAGTTGCAAAGGGAAAAGATCCTTTTTCGAGACGTAAAATGCCACAGATTGCATTAACTGCTAGTTCTTGGATGTGCCTGGCCTTGGGGATCTTGATGGTCCTGGGTTTGATCTCTGCCTGCTGCCATATCAGTGAAATTCAGAATGCTCTTATGTAACAGGCTTGTTATTTATCACAAAAAACTTTTGTCCATTGTATGGTGTGTATACAAGCATGTTTAGAACTAGTCTGTTGGCTCACACAGAGCTGGTTTTGAATAAACAGTTTTTAATCAGAATTTTTTAAAAATATTATTAATTACATTACCATTGTTTAAAAAATTACATCACCATCTTAGTGTCCATAGGAAATTAGATTTTGCTCATCTGGCCTCATCTTTGATAATGAAAGAGACTATCTTCATAAATGATTGCTTTATGTAATTACTTATGTCTGTCCATTTTCATTTCATTTTAAGCATTGAGTTTAAAATGTACCATTTAAAATGGCAACTATAATAGGCACCATAACTTTTATTTGCAGGAGGGAGTGTTCTTATCAATAGACTAAAAGTTCTAACTACACAAAAAGCACTTACTACTGAATTATCCATTGTCAGATAGAAGTGTGGAAAGCAACATACAAAGTATCCTAACTTTAATGGCAGTTACAGAATGAATGAACTGAATGTCACCAGGTCTCAATCTATCAGACATGCCTACTTTGTTTTAATAATATCAATTCCCCTTTCAGACCTTGTGGTCTATAGGTCATCTGTTTTTTGTGGCCTACAGATAACGAGGGTGCCATGTGGCCAGCACAACGACCAACCACCTTTTACTTTTCCCAACTAATGTCAGGTACCCATTAGAGCTGGGTGGACTTAGCGGCGCCCAAAGATCCCAAAATTAAAAATCCCAGTCAAGCACCACTCCTCCGACAAACTTTTAAACCTCGAGACATTCCAATGAATGTGCAGCACTAAGGAGATAAACGTTGATAAGGTTAGAGGTCAACCTTTGGGCCTTATCTTTGGTACAACTCATTCTGGATTTTGTTATTGGGGAACTTAATACTAAACTTTAGTAATTAAACAAAGATTAATAAAACCTATGCACATCTTAGCTTAAGGCAGTCACATGAAACACTTATTCAATAGCGCAAAGCTCTGGATTATAAATACCTATAAATAGAGAGTTAAGTCAAAAGAACAATAGTACCAATATAAGTGAAAAGGACATTTGTACCAATATAAGTGAAAAGAACAATTGTACCAATGAATAAACTTTATTTATCAGTCTACATGATCATCAAGCAGTTTAATGTGATACAAAATCTAACACATGTGAACAAATACTGCACCACTATGAGTTAGACATTTGTGTACTCAGAAGGAGCAAGACTTTTTTGACATTTATTTACTAAACAATTTCAAAACTTGTTTTTTTATGTGTGTGTTATCCAAGCACTTCTAATTCATAAATGTTTATTCCAAATATTGACATCTAAAGGCTTTATCTAGGCACAATTACGTTTGATATCAAATTTGTATAGTATATAAGTCCAAAATCATTTTTTTTAGCTTCGTACTAGACCAGGATGTTAAAAATAACCCAATTATAACACAAGTACTTCATAATAAATGATGTATAAAAATGATTACAAATTTCAAGCATTCACTTATGATGTAATGATTACATTCACAAAAATCTTAGAGGCAGAGTTGATTGAAAAGAATAATAAATCCAAGCTTAGACTACCATTCTTGTTATCTGATTTTAAAAAAAACAACAAATAGCTCCAGCACACCAAAGATATGGTTTTATTATTTAGAAGTACAGTTAGGATCAAAGGAAATGAAGGAGGAAGCATGCAGCCACCATCACCAAATGAAGGAGGAATCCTGCTATTGCCATTGTCAAGTGAAGGTTTCAGAGAGAATAGGAAAAGAATCCAAACATAGAGAACAATCAAGGGGAAAGTTGTCCTTTTAAAGATGATATCATGCTAAAGAAAAAGGAGTCTGATGGGATAATTGCTCGTTCAACCTGTGCTGCTGATGATGACAATTTGTTTTCAGAACTAAATTTGCTTTTGAAAAACACAATTTAGTTGTAGAAAATGTCACTGCAGCTTCATGTTAAATGCAAATGCTGCCCCAAAGCTTTTAAGCTGTGGCCAGTTATTGTGCAAGATGCATTTGAAATCAATTGGCAGAAACACCAAAGACTTTTTGTTTTGTAAATTAGACAATATCATAACTAACATTCCCTGTGGAGAACACTGACTTAGCTGATTCAGCAGACAAGATTAAACAACCCATATTGAAAAGATTACTTCAAGGGATTGAAGTTGTTTCCAGACAACAATAGAAGCTATTATTAATATTTTTTTAAAAAGAAGTGAAGAAGTTAGGAGCATTGATTGCACTTTATTAGTTTAAAAATAACTATTTAAAAAATCATTTGTTAGAGGAACAAATGTGACAATAAATATACTTATTTCTGTATCAAAGAAAAGTTCTGTATCCAGATAAACTGTCAATTTTAGCACCAAAAAAAAAAAAAAGTATGTTTGACTTGTTTTTTTTTTTCTACCCCTTTGAATTATTTAGTTCAGGTTGTCAGACACAATTACTAGAACATTCCTTTCCAGTGTTTAAACATTTTTCATTCTTAATTAGCATAACACAATCATACAGTATTGATACAGTATCATTTTCATACAGTCCAAAATACCCAACAAGAAGCAGGCTTACTACATAAACCCCACTCACTCAGAACACTTTCACGCATGCCCCACTCACTCAGAACACTTTCACACACACCCCACTCACTCAGAACACTTTCACACTTCACATCAACAACTTCTTTGTGAGCTACTTGAATGGTTTGATGTTACACCTGAAACAAAAAATAATCCTTATAGAATTTCTTCAACTAACAAAAAATTTATTAGAAACATTTCTATAGAAATATAAAAGTAAAATCAAGTTAAAAATTTGGTAAGACAATGGAAGATTAACAAACAAAATATCCTTCATATCAAACACAATTGGTAATTACAGACATAGTTAAATTGACATCCAATTGATATATTCATTTACTTCTCTGTATCAGAAGATTTACATCTTACACCCGCTTCAATTCCAGATAAAAAAAATCTCAAGGATTGACAATGCCACCATCTCAAAATGGTGGTATAAAAGGATGGACAATGCCACCATCTCAAAATGGTGCTATAAAAGGATTGACAATGCCACCATCTCAAAATGGTGCTATAAAAGGATTGACAATACCACCATCTCAAAATGGTGCTATAAAAGGATTGACAATGCCACCATCTCAAAATGGTGCTATAAAAGGATTGACAATGCCACCATCTCAAAATGGTGCTATAAAAGGATTGACAATGCCACCATCTCAAAATGGTGCTTATAAAACGATGGACAATGCCACCATCTCAAAATGGTGCTATAAAAGGATTGACAATGCCACCATCTCAAAATGGTGCTTTAAAAGGATTGACGATGCCACCATCAAAAAAGGTGCTATAAAACGATGGACAATTCCACCATCTCAAAATGGTGCTATAAAAGGATTGACAATGCCACCATTGACATATTCTAAAATGTTTACTTTGTCTACACGTTGAGTTATTTTATAGTTCCTTTATTTAGAACGAGAATTATCTTCCCTGACAAAACTAACATTTTAAACCCATTATATTGTTCAGATTAAGAGTAAATATGTTTTAATACAATACTAAACACCTATTCATATTTGTCGACAGTGTAGAAAGTAGATAAGACTACGTATAACCTCTGTCATACGCATGTTGAAGTGATCCTTCAGTCTTGTTTTTATTTCTGTGCAAAGGAACAAAGGAAATATTATTTTGTGCGCTGTTTCCAAAGACGCACTCTGTAAAGGTCATTGTGTCATGAGTTTTGACTTAGATGGCTCGTTCTCTGTTATAACTTTTTTTTTAGTTGTTAAGTTTAATTATTTTTAATTTTATATTGATATCTTTGCTCTGTCAGTTTGCCAATATACTTTGGTGTGACAGCGAGTACAGAACTTCATAATTGTCTTGTTTAGGGACTCAGGCTCAATAGTAATCAAGCTTGATGATCTGAGTGTGGACTGTTGGCTTTGATTGGGCCATATTTGGTTGTGGGCAGAGTAAGCCCGGATAGTATCACTGGCATTGTGACCAAGGTGTACCTTTATGTTACGCTAATTATCTATTTGTAAATGATGCATGTCAGTTAATGAGTACTTCATGTGTAACATTGACTGTTTTCTCTAATGGCAATGTATAAGCTATCATTCCTATCCTATCATTAAACATTTGTTACATTACTGTTTGTTGTTAAATACTGTGCATTAGCCCACTGGCATTACTTGTTTGTCGTAACTTATTAAGTAGATTGACTGCAGGGATCCCTGGGCAGATGAGCCAAGGCAAAAATACAACCGCCACAACATCTACTCACCCGAGTAAACCATGTCCACTCCAAGCAGATGGTGTCACATTTAAATGAACAGCTCTGTTCCCGCGTAGCACAACAGCACGCAATGGTTTCTGTAAACACATAAATGTTTTGTTCAATTAATATTCAGTGCCTCACTCTCGTAATGAGAAAAGGGTCACAAACAGAGCATAACTAGTCTGGAGAAATATTTGCCTTCCAAGAATCAGTGTTCAAACATCTTCTAACTTTATCCTGCTTAAGTCCAAAAATGCATGGATTCTTCATGATCAATATTATCAAAACTTCAATTGTATAAAATAACTCTTTTAGCAAGAGTTGATTAACACTCATGTTAGGTAATAAACTCTTTAACAATAAAAATTAATCATAAAACCATAATGCTAAATTGATGAAAACATTTTTTTACTTATTAGGGATTTTGATAAAAAAATTTAAATTCTAAACAATATCAAGGACACTATATGCCACTCTTGCCAACTAAAAAAAAAAAGGTTTTGGGCTAAGAGCAAAACAGCCTCCAAATGAGATTTTAGCAGTACTTAAAAGTCCACAGAATTTTTGTATCTATCTCTATCTATGGCCTCCTTCAGTCACGGAGCGACTATGGATTATCTCATGGAAATGACATGAACGGGCATGGGCATTAGCTGTGGTCGGAACGATGTCGCCCACAAATCAGTTCCCCCCTCTCCATGCAGCTGATGTATCCATGACATATAGATGATATTTTGAAAGTTTACAAAAAAATAATATTGCAATTATGTCTAAAGTAATAGTTCCCCTTTCAGACTTTGTGGTCTATGGGCAGATGATGTAAAGGTCATTTTTTTTGTGGCCTAGGGTTAACAAGGGTGTCATGTGCCCAGAACAGCGACCAACTGCTTTTACTTTTCCACAACTTTTGTCAGGCACCCATTAGAGCTGGGTGAACTCGGAGGCGCCCAAAGATCCTGAAATAAAAAAACAACAAGTCTTCACCAAGATTTGAACCCACAACCCCTGGTTTGGAAGCCAAGCACTTTACCCCTCAGCCACCAAGTCTCATGCAATTATATCTACATGATAATAAGTAATTAAATTCAGTAGTTTTTCCTCATGCTTCCTTCCTATTTCATTATTCCAACATCCAGCAGGTCAAGACCAAGTCACTATGTTAATGCCTTACATTTTTGGAATGCTGTAACACTGTAGCGATTGTCTGAAGATTGACAAAGTTGTCTGAAGTAACTGATCCAAACTCAATCAATTGATCGCCAACAATTAGACCCTGTAAAGAAAATAAAAAAATTGAGTCTTTTGAACTTTACAATCAAAGGTGTAATTAAAAAGAAAAGATTACTGTTCTAAAAAATGATTATCATACATCTACAGAGGAGAGTACCAGTACATTTTATTTGATTGTTATAACAGTTACAATACATTTGGTTGAATAGTTGATCATTGATAGGTGAAGACTTTGTCTGATTTACTTTTTTTAATAGCGAAAATAAAAAAAGGGAGTGTTCAATAATTTACTTAATATCAATTCAGCAAGTATTGAACAATTCTAGTGACACATACAAATCCCAGCTTGAGCTGAGTTGAGTTCAGTGAGCACCTAAAGGCAGCACCCAAACCTTTTCAGATACACTCTCTCCCCTACAAGTCCATGAAAGATGAACTATATCTTTTAAACAAAATTATGTGGTGGCCTAGTGGAAGCCAAATGAAAGTTTTAAGATCAAATTCCATTGAAGGCTATAACTGTACAGGAAAATAAAGGTAAAAGGACTCCCTTAGTGACCTTTACCATTTAAAAAAAAACAACAACTTTATTTGATTCTTTTTTATTTGTTTGTGTTTGCGTCTATATTGTTATATTTTAGTAGTAATCATGAATTGGACTATAACTGTACAGGAAAATAAAGGTAAAAGAACTCCCTTAGTGACCTTTACCCTTGAAAAAAAAACAAAAAAACTTTATGAATTCTTTTTGGTTTGTTTGTGTTTGCGTCTATATTGTTATATTTTAGTAGTAATCATGAATTGGACCAGTGTAGTGAAACCAAACTTCCATTTTCTTTTTAGCAATAAAGTAAATCTTATCTTCAATGTCCTGCACCATATAACTTAAACGAAACTTACATACATCTTCAATACGAAAGAAAACAGCCTGGCCAGACTTAACATTATGTACTTTAAAACCAACTTACACCTTCAGCTGCTGGAGAGCCAGAGTCTACTCTGTCCACAAGTGCGAATGGAATCCTGTCAACTTCCATGCCATCCCTCATGATGTTGGCAGAGTTCATTTCGGACTCCATAGACTTCAATTCCCTAGCGGCTTGATGGATTCTGACCAGTTCCTCTTCTATCTCTTTCATTACAATCAGGTGGTCATTCTGCAGACCTGAGGAAATGAAGACTAACATTTATACATTGAAGGGAGAGTGAGAGGTTCATGTCTTGTTTAATATTGGTTGTTAGAACTATCATGTTGTTAAAATTTATATTTTGTAGGACTGGGCCTGCAAAAAAATTTGCCTTCAATAAAATGTTGACCTTACTGAATAAAACAAAAATAACTTTAAACAAACTTCAGGTTTTTTTATCTTCTGTTTGAATTATTTCCAATGGCAAAATAAGATAGAACAGCAAAGAAATATAACTCTAGAAAGGTTAAATGTAAACATGTTTACTCACAGGAAATTTGGTGTCTGGCATGCCTACAGGAGTACACATCTATATCGGATCTAGGATAGCCTTCAGAATCAACTAAAGGCTCATTCAAGCCGACCCCTTTTTGCTGTAGAAAGAAAAAAGTTGTTTTTTTTCCACATTTTATTTCATAATTATTTCCTTAACCTAACTTAGACTTTGAATCAAAGTTTGTATTAAGTTTTAAAAAGAGACAGTCTTAGAAATGTAACCATGTGTGCATAGTTGTTAACTAAACTTATAGTCTAAAGTTAAGGATTATTACTGTAACATGGTTGCTTTTTAGCAATTAAAAAATATCTTTACTCGCAGCTATTTTATATGATTAAAAGCCTACAAACAGCAATTTTGCTAGAATTGGTTTATCTATATAATAATGCAGAGTTCCTATCCTACACAGTCAGTCATTCATACAACTCTCCATAAAGGAAAAATAAAATAGTTTTAAAAAATACTCTAAAGAATCTTCATGAATTCCTCCCATACTAATGTTCTTTCTCAATATATTGCCAGTTCTCTCAATGGGTTTCTTTCATAGATCAGAGTAAAGCTGGCATGTAACCTCAGTCAGTTTAAATCACAATTTGAAAAGGGGAGCGGTTTTAACTGCACACTGGGTCAGTTTCAAGGTTCCTGTATTTTAAGAGGAGGTCTGATCGAGTAATTCCCTTTTTCTATCTGTACCATTGACACTATTGTTTGATATTATGATTATGATTGACATACAGTTATTGTCTAAAATCAGAGTGTACCAGACCTGCCTACAAAAATAAGTCCAAATGCATAACGCTGATGGTCAAAATGCCTATTTTGGCACCAGAATGCGTAACACTTACGCGATCCACTGTTTTGTCATATATACATAATATTAGATCTAGATCTAGATGTCATGATAAGATCTACAATCTAAATCTAGATCAATACGACAATGGAGATGATATCTAGACTAGATGAGGATCCATGTCTATTTAATGAATATAATTTACTCTAGACCTGGGCTCAAGAGTGTTACCGATGCCGTGGATCCGCTACAAACGTAGGTCTACTCTAAACTTTCGTAGGCCTACCTTCTTCCTTGATCTATTCTTTACTGTTATACTAAGACTAAGAATCTAGTCTAGATCTAGACTAGATGGTTGTAGATGTTATCGATCTAGATCTAGTCAATCTAAATCATACTATAACTTATAACTTAGTATTTATAACTAGTATAACTAAATTGGATCTAGATTTTAGAGAGTAGAGTAATGTAGAGAATCATGGCATAATGTAATGACTAGCTAGATCTATTCCTGTATAACAAGTTATCTACATTCTCCATCATTCTAGATCTAGAATCCAGATCTAGACTAGATATCTACAATGTCACTCAATGTGTTTTGAATCGATAGCACTTCGATATTTTTTTCTATACAAATGAATACGGAAACAGGGATTCAGCATAATTAATTTCTACTAATGAGCTTACAAAAAAAAAAAAAAAAGCCACGTTGGTGTATCAGCTAACTGACGGTACCAATCCGCCACTCCCTCACTCCCGCGTTCTTCATTTCTAGACTAAATCTAATTGCTTTTAAGAACCAATCAACGTATAGATCTGGACACAATGTGTTCCCCCTCCCCTCCCCCAAACAGGACGGCTTAGCGTGACCTCCATGACCGCTCGTAAACTAGTCAAGAGAGGGGAAAAAAAGGATTCGAAATGCGTAACGCGACGGGTTAAATGCTTATTTGCGTACTGACGGCCCTTTTTGGAAGTTTTAGCGTAACGAATATGCATTTTGCGTAACGGTAGGCAGGTCTGGTGTATTTAGGCATATGCATGTGGTGTGAGCCCAATGGTGTATCAACCTGGTGAGGGGACATAAAAATTTCCCCCAATGTTAACCTTTTGAATCTGAGTTCTCAATTTATTGGTCAGCCATTTTAGCCCTATTTATTGGGTCTAGGGTACCTTACTATAGACTGTCAGAAATTTGGCACTCTGTGTGCATTTCGAAGTGGCTGATACAAATCAAGGGACAAAGTCAAGACAATTTCTTGGACTTTGTGAAATTACTATATAATATATATATAATATCTAAGTAAGACCCAGTCCCGAGAAAACATATTAAATGGTTCGAACCAAGATTGATATCTGGCCGTCTAACTAATTGTCACCACAAATCAAAATGAATATATTTTACAATTGGGTGATCATGTTAGAAAGTAACTTTAGCAACAAGTAAAACAAGCAAACATTTCACAATTTTACTTACACAGTACATTGACATCTCAGGCCTAGATCAAACTTAAGTTTTATGGTAAGCTTTCATAGATGAGTCTTTCATTGACTTTAACGATTATCATGTATGTGTTTAATATCACCCTTGACACCACACAGCTGACCAGTAGTATTATTAAATTTACATTGCATGAGCTTCAGTAAAAAAAGTAGCTTACTCTTGATAACCTTGATTTGAATATTAACTAGTCTACATAGGGTCATTTCGGAATTATGGGAAAGTGAGAGAACTAACTAAATTTATCAGTGTCTGAAACAATCCAGAAAGATTGATATATCATATAATATACAATGAATGTTAAGCAAGCTATCAGTAGACCTGCCTACCTAAAAAAGTCCAAATGTGTAACACTGATGGTCCAAATGTGTATTTTGACACCAGAATGTGTAACGCTTGCGCGATCAACAATTTTATTAGATATAATATATATATATATATATATAATTATTATGTAAATTTCCCTTTTTAATTAATGTCTTGTTTAATATTGGTTGTTAGAGCTATCATGTTGTTAAAATTTATATTTTGTAGGACTGGGCCTAGAATTTGAATTGAAAGAGGATTCATTAGTTTCAGCTTGCCACATTTTCTTCAGAAGATTGAGACGTTGACAATTCCAAGACTAAAAGTCAGAAGCATCCAAGGCAAATTCCAAATCCAATCTTTCAAAGCAGGAGTTGAAGACCTTTTATTTAATTTTAAGATATTTAGCTATATTATTAGAGCTCTTTATTGACTTTAATTTATCATACTTTATGACCCAGTATGAATCATGAATGAGTGTGACAGTGTCAGAAGTAAATGCCTGAGAAGCACTAAGGCAAAGTTAAGACTTAACTCATAAAGTTGTTGCTAAAGTCAATAAAGTAAAGAGTCAGACGACACACAGTCACAATGATTGTGACTTTTTTATTTTACAATGAAATTCACCAAGTCGTCCAATTGAAGTTGTCGAGTTAGATTAAGATCTATGCCAATTATGGATTTCTAAAACATAGACAAAAAAACTACATTGTCTTGAACGATGTGTACAAACCAGTGCACTTACAGACTGTAGAAGATCCATAAACTCTTTAATATTGCTTTCAATTTCATTTTTTTTACGACTCAGTTCTTCGTATCTTCTGGTGGCTGCCATTTTACTTTTAAAACCATAACATTGAATTAAAAAGTTTAATTAAGTAGTGAACATTTTTTTCCCTATAGAGTCTACATCTTGATTCTTGGTTAGATCATGATTAGACTAGATAAATAGATTTAATTATGGAAATAAAAAAAATAAAACATTTAATTCGTATTGACATTTAAAGATCTAGATCTATAAACTATGTAAATATTAGGTTTATCGGATCTAGATTTTTCCAGATAGATCTAGATTCTAGTTTTTAAATCCCAATGAAGAAAATATCGTGTTGTTTCTTCAGTTCTCATCTCGTTGTGGCTAGAAAATTCTTCTACACTCTAGATAATTGGGTCACACTTATTTTTAGCTTGACGGATCTTTCCGAGCAATTCCGATTAAAAGTTCAGCCAATGGAAGAACAGGAAATAAATAGTCAGGGTCATCGAGAATCCTCTAGACTGTTGTAATAAGCAAGGAGGATTCTCGGGAATTCTACACCTTCTTCGCCAACAAGTATAAAAGCAAGCATGTTAAGCAGCAGAGACAGAATACCTGAATCTGGTAAAACGACACATAAGCGAAAAGTAATTAACTATTACTACAGCGCAACGCAATTTTTATTCCTCATTCTATATCTTACTGAGCATATATCCTAATCTGCAAAGGAGTTTTAAGTTTAAAGATATCAATCAAGAGTTTTAATACATCTATCTACAATTAAGGTAAGTTATATATTTTGTAATGATGATTTTGTTTTAGCCATAGACCTTAAATCTAGCACCTTGATTTAACAATAATTAGTAACCCATAGACTTGTAGTCTATGTCTAGGTCTGTATATAAACGCTCTAGCGTTTCTAGTTCATTTTTATTATATTATAAGGGCTAAGACTTTTTGTGTAGGCCTTATTTAATCTATGTCTTCTCTTTTAAATTAAGCCTAATAGGTCCTAATTTTTGAGTCCAAAACTGTAAACCTTAACATTATTTGCCTACTCCATTGTGACAAATCATGTTAATATATCCTAGCTTTTTTCTTTGCTTTTATAAGTTACTGTTTCTTAATGTAGCCTATTTAATTCCTAGCAGAAGGTAGAATGCTCGCAGACGGCTTTAAATCCCGCTCTTATTTTAAGTTACCGGTATCACATTTAGCTTGTAACAAAACAAACTAACATTGTACATAATTCTAATTTTCTTTTTTTGATTTTTTTTTTTCAGATGTCAGGACGAAAGAAGGCTCCCGCAATCGGTATTGACCTGGGGACAACCTATTCTTGCGTGGGTGTGTTCCAACATGGCAAGGTGGAGATAATCGCCAACGACCAAGGCAACAGGACAACTCCCAGCTATGTGGCCTTTACCGACACAGAACGCTTGGTGGGTGACGCGGCCAAGAATCAGGCTGCCATGAATCCAAGTAACACAGTCTACGACGCCAAGAGGCTGATCGGCAGAAAGTTTGACGACAAGACAGTCCAGAACGACATGAAGCATTGGCCCTTCAAGGTTGTGGAGGTTGATGGTCGCCCTAAGATCCAAGCTGAATACAGAGGTGAGAACAAACTCTTCGCCCCAGAGGAGATCAGCTCGATGGTGCTCACCAAGATGAAAGAGACGGCCGAGGCTTATCTGGGCCAGAAAGTCACCGATGCCGTGATCACAGTGCCAGCTTATTTCAACGATTCACAGAGGCAAGCCACAAAAGATGCTGGTGCTATCGCTGGACTCAACGTCCTCCGAATAATCAATGAGCCCACAGCCGCTGCCCTGGCGTATGGCCTTGACAAAGGTCATAAAGGAGAGAAGAATGTTTTGATTTTCGACCTGGGAGGTGGCACTTTCGACGTCAGCATCTTGACCATCGATGAAGGGTCGATGTTTGAAGTGAAGGCTACTGCTGGTGACACCCATCTGGGAGGTGAAGACTTTGACAACAGAATGGTCACTCACTTTGTGCAGGAATTCAAACGTAAATATAACAAAGACATGAGCAGCAACCCAAGGGCCATCAGACGTCTTCAAACAGCATGTGAACGAGCAAAGAGAACACTATCCAGCAGCTCTGAAGCTTCCATTGAAATAGACTCTATCTATAAAGGTATTGACTTTTACACTAAGATTACAAGAGCCAGATTTGAAGAGCTGTGTGGTGACCTTTTCAGATCAACACTGCAGCCTGTTGAGACAGCACTGAGAGATGCCAAACTAGACAAGGGAAAAATAGATGAAGTTGTACTGGTTGGTGGATCAACTCGCATTCCAAAAGTCCAGAAGCTTCTGACGGACTTCTTCAATGGCAAAGAACTGAACAAATCTATAAACCCAGACGAAGCTGTAGCTTATGGTGCTGCAGTTCAAGCTGCTGTGTTGACTGGCGACACAAGCGACACCATCAAAGACGTTCTGTTGGTGGATGTTGCTCCACTCTCACTGGGTATTGAAACTGCTGGAGGCGTCATGACTCCGCTGGTCAAGAGAGGCACCACCATTCCAACCAAAACCTCCCAGATCTTCACCACATACGCGGACAATCAGCCAGGCGTCGACATTCAGGTCTACGAAGGTGAGCGTGCTATGACCAAAGACAACAACCTGTTGGGTAAGTTCCACCTCACCGGCATCCCTCCTGCACCCAGAGGCGTTCCCCAGATAGAGGTCACATTCGATATCGACGCCAACGGTATCCTCAACGTCAGCGCCCAGGACAAGAGCACTGGTAAAACCAACAACATCACCATCAAAAACGACAAAGGCCGACTCAGCCAGACTGAAATCGACAGGATGCTCGCAGACGCTGAGAAATACAAAGACGAGGACAAGAAACAGCAGGATAGGGTGTTGGCCAGGAACCAGCTGGAGAACTACGTCTTCAATGTCAAGCAAGCTGTTGATGCCGCTGGGGAGAAGCTGTCTTCAAGTGACAAGGACACTGTGCTGAACGCCTGCAGCAGCACGCTGAAATGGCTGGACAATAACTCTTTGGCCGAGAAAGAAGAGTATGAAGACAAACTGAAGGAGATACAGAAACTGAGCTCTTCCGTCATGGCCAAGCTGCACACCCAAGGCGGCTCAGCACCAGGACACACTCAGGACCATAACAGTGGTCCAACAGTTGAGGAAGTAGATTAAAAACTTGACTTCCAGCTAGTCTTTTTTTGTTTGTCTTTGAACTTACAGTATTATTGATTGTAAAGTTGATATTAAGTATAATGCAATCTCATGTGTGAGTTTTATATTTCGAATGTTTTTTAAAATAATTTTTTTGATTTTTTTTTTTTATCTCGTTTATTTTTTAAATGAAACAATTAAGATTTTTGAGTTTGATTTGTATATAATATTGTATTTCAAGTAGAAATTGATGTAAAAATTATTATAATTTGAATAATTTTGAAGGCCAGTTCCTTTCGTGTTATATTCTATTGAAATTTACAGTTTATTTGTACATATTTATGTTTATACGATGTTGAATTTATTTGAAGTTTAATAAAATAAGAAAAAAATATCGAAAATGCCGATTTGCTTTATTTTGTTTATTTTAAATATATTACTATAAAACATATCATTGATCCATAAAATCTCGACCCAAATCTATGTAAATAAAGAAAAAATAATTGAATAATATTTGGTATAAAATTTATATTTTTTTAAAAATATAATCCAAACGTCATTATATCATACCAAAATCATTTAAAGAGACACTTTAGGATTTAAAAAAGACAAGCAGCAGTAATCGTACACAAACACCGAACCATAATTTACAAAATTCAAAAACACAACCTAATAAAATACTCAGAAAAACACAACTAGAAAGACACATTATACAAGGACTTAAGACGACTTAAAAAAAATGGACGGGTCTGCTATTGAAAGAGGTTCTATCAAAGGCAAAAGACAAGAGAAGAGTGGAACAGTTCTTGTATCGTGCCCCCATCCCAAACGGTCCAACAGACTAAAGGTGAATGATATACAGCTTTCAGTTTCGGTGTAGATATATATGTAGAAACACAAACGAAATGATCCGATCTTGAGCAATTGAAACCAACACACGAGTCACTTCAAAACTACACACCAACACACGAGTCACTTCAAAACTACACACCAACACACGAGTCACTTCAAAACTACACACCAACACACGAGTCACTTCAAAACTACACACCAACACACAAGTCACTTCAAAACTACACTGGACACAAAAGTCACTTCAAAACTACACTGGACACTCAAGTCACTTCAAAACTACACTGGACACTCAAGTCACTTCAAAACTACACACCAACATACAAGTCACTTCAAAACTACACACCAACACAAAAGTCACTTCAAAACTACACTGGACACAAAAGTCACTTCAAAACTACACTGGACACTCAAGTCACTTCAAAACTACACACCAACATACAAGTCACTTCAAAACTACACACCAACACAAAAGTCACTTCAAAACTACACTGGACACAAAAGTCACTTCAAAACTACACTGGACACTCAAGTCACTTCAAAACTACACACCAACATACAAGTCACCTCAAAACTACACTGGACACACAAGTCACCTCAAAACTACACTGGACACACAAGTCACCTCAAAACTACACTGGACACACAAGTCACCTCAAAACTACACACCAACACACGTGCTTTCACCTATCTCCCATTTGTACTCTTATTTCAATTGACTTCTATTAGCCCCACCCTTATTTATAACCTCATCTGCGATGGCCTTACCGAGACCAGTCGTCATAGGAGACCTGGTCCTGCAACGTCACAACTTGTGGGCAGTCCAGATCAATAGCTCGTTGCCACCTCATAGGTCTGTGACGTTGCAGGTCAACGTTTAGGCCTTCTATAACGAAATGGTCTTGGTCTTACTCATGGTTACATCAGAATCTAATCTATACAATACAAACACGCTCACAAAACACAGGATTGCTGATTTGACATTTTAAAATTGAAGTCTCTGGGGATGGGGGGGGGGGGAGAGGGGGGGGGACGCCACTAAGATCATGTAACTTTTTTGTTTCTATAACCAATATCTTTCAAAAGTACTTTGCCACATTTTCGCAGTGGCGTAGAAACCATGGCGAGAAGGGGTTCATAACGCCCGAGCCCTTGTTTGGGCCCCATATTAGGCCCCTATTGGTCGTGGAGGACCCGACCTCATACAAGCAAAATATTTTAAAAAAATACTTTTTAAAAACAAAGGTTATCTATGGATGAATAACCACAAAAATTACTGTCATATATTTCAATACTGCAGGAAAAAGCTCTTTTTTTTTCTTAAAAAAAATTTAATGAATTATCACGAATTGATTAACTAATTAGTTATTTTTTATCGATTCACGTGTTGTCAGCGACTTTCAATCATTATACAAAATTTCAACTTGATTCGAGAATGGGAAGTAGGAGAAAAACGTGTACAAAAACGAAGCAAGGGAAATAACACCAGATATAGTCACACCTCTCAATTAGTAGAACCTATTTCCCTTTTTCGATACCAAACATAAAAACTAATTAACAACAATCCAAGTTGGTTAATGTTTTTTCTTATTCAGGCAATGTTAAATACAATTAATAATCGTGTAAAGTTTCAACTTGATCCGAGAATGTGTGAGCTTGCGCTCCCTGAGCTAGTTTTATATGTATTTTTGTTGTATAATTTAGATCTATTTTTATATATTTTATTTTTATAGGTCAGTGTCAGATTTTATAGTTGTACTTCCGCATATTTATATAGGTTAGTGCGGGATAGTATAAAAGTGATGTACTACATGCTGTCTTAAAACAGTTGAGTGTACATTTGACCAGTGGTCAGTACCATATCTGTCTGTGTGACAGCTGAAGATCTTTGTGGTCTAATTATTTAATTATTCTGTACCTGGGACGGCCTGTAAGTTTGCTATTGTTACTGCTGTGTTACTGCTTTTAGCTGCTGATTATAACTGCTATTACTCTTGCTGTAGATCTAGAATCTAGTGTTATTTTGTTTTGTAGTGTAGCTTTAGTGGCTTAGATTGGTAAACTTAGTTATAAGTTATAGTCTGTTTCTGTTCTTAGGGAATGCTAATAACAGGGTACTAAGGCTAAGGTATTCTTGTTTTAGTTGTAGTTATGGGTTGGTTATAGTATAAGTAGTAGAATATTGTAGATCTAGACTAGTTTATTGTAGTGTGTTTGTGTAGATCTAAGACTAGTATAGTAGTTGTCTTGAAGTGATTTAGTTCTTTTTAGTTAGATAGTTGTTTTGATCAGTTTGTGTTAGACAGTTGGTTTGGTTAGTTTTTAATGGCGTAGATTCAGAGGGTTTTAGTTAGTATTAGTTGTTTCCATTGTAGTGTATATATTTTATTATTGATTTATATTTTTGTATGTTAATAAAGTTCCGTTTTGTTTATTTATTCTAAACTAAAGTTTGTTATCTTGTTTTCATTTAGTTTAGGTTAGTATAGTTAGTATGTCTGGTTACTTAGGCGACTCTAGCCCCTTGGTCACCATACCGAGGTGCACAGATTGAGCCCACCCAGTAGTGCAAACATCTGCCTACTGTTGGTAAATTTTAATGTTGAGCAGTAAGAATAGGTATCTCCCACTCGCGCCTGCCTGACCTGCTCACAAATGTTTGTGGTATAAATAATGTGTAAAAAAAAAATTACTAGACAGACAGGCAGACAGACTAAGTTGCAATAAGCTTAGCTAAAAAAAAAGGCGCTCATGTCCTATCGTCTGGTAACTTATCCTAACGTAAGTGAACTTTTTAAAAACAAAATCTCTTCTAATGGTTTACGGCAGTAACTTCTAAGCAACGCACGATCTCTGTGGTTAGGTCCAAGCCCATGAAACCCACCTCTCGCCTGTTATGCCCATGTTAACATCCATTATATAACATTATCAAGTAATTGCCTCTTAAAGATTGCATTTCATTTCATTAAATACATTCCCAGTTTTATCCATGCATTGCAGTTTCGATAACATGATTCCGTTAGGTGCAGATGTGGATGGTGTGGTGGACCTGTTAAATAAATATTTCCTAAAAAATTATTAGTATGCGTTCAATTCCATTGAAATATGGGTAGCACGGAAGTGGACAATTCATCTCATTCAGTGTCCTCACTTGAACTTTCCTTTGTATTGTACCAACATGTTGTAGATGTTGTAGTTGCTGTCACACGACATATGCTTCATACGGAGTCATCGTCATATATTGTTATGGAAATTTGAGCAAAATTTAAGTGGCTTTTGAAATAAGTTTTGGTTTGGATTCTGACAATTCGGAGTGTATAATGTAAAGCAATTACCATTGGATAGTGGATTAATTTTTTGACGACTTTTGAAAGATGAATTTAATCATCATATGTCTCCTATACGTTTTTGTAATATCAGGTAAGTGATACATTAGACACTAGTTTGTTTTTTATTTTGTTTTCTAGAAATAAAGATTACTTCAACATAGTATCACAGTCCCGAAATCTCGCTGTGAAGCAGAATTCAAAATCCTGACAGCGCCTATCATTCGGTCAACCATTTTATAGTAATAGTTAGTACTGTTTAATTATGTAGACTTTTGCGTATAACTAAGTGGAAAGCGTGTACAAAACACAGTCCAAGTTACTGTACTTCTGCTACGGAAAATGGATAAAATTATAATTATTACTATTTTAGAAATGAATTAATTTTTATTATCCTGGCACAACCAGGGTCGATATTCTTTAAAGAGAAACAAAATTCAATGTGGTTCCTTTAAGAATTCAAAGTGTCCACTAAGACGAGAATCTTCTTTGATATGTTTACGCCCGGGCATGCAACCCTGCCTCATAGTGGCGCCCGGGTGGAAACGATCGTAGGAGGAAACGATTAGGCTAAAGGGTAGTAAAACAAGACTCCCGTGGGGGTGCCTAAGGGGGTGCGAGAGCATCTTCATTGAACTGTGCGGAGTTGTAAAAAAGCTCCCACAACCTTGTCACAATCCTGGCGCTGTTCCTCAAGGGGCCGTTACATAAATGGCGTGTCCCGAACTGTTAGCCTGGTATAGAAAAGGAAGATGGCGGGGTCTTAGTGTACGCAGCCTCTTGCCGCGAATCTGACCCACCCGTCAGACAGAACAGTGTACACTGTTCTCTTTCAGGCCAGTGAGAGGGAGCCCTTGTTCACTTTTGCTGGCTTAGAGTTCCAAGAGCTGAAGGCTCAACTCTACCTGACAGTTTCAAGATATGTTTAGGGCCTCAAAGGTGTCTGTGAGGTCAGATGTTACTTTTCCCATCGGTTGATATTATTATTATTATTATAGCATTTATATAGCGCTACTTTCATGCTTATAGCATGCTCAGTGCGCTTTTGGTCCAATCTCATTTTGTGGAACGGGGGGGGGGGGGAGGGGAGGGGGTATCTAGGAGTTGGTTTTCCGTGCTGCCTTCCGCGCTCAGTAAACACAACTCTGCCCGAGTCGGGTGTCGAACCTCGAGCCCCCTTCTAGGTAGCTAAGCCAAGCCAAGTTCAAGCCCACGCTTCCCGACATG